CACAGGGCTTCGTAAAGCATTTTATAAACGTGGAATGTTGATGCCATCCCATAAGTTTATCAAAAAAAGAAATTCTTTTTATTTTGAATGTATGCTATTTGTTCAAATTGTCGATTATTATGACGAGTTGTGGGTCATACCTGATGTGCGTGGTTACGTAATGTATTTGTTTGATTTTGTTTATTCACCTAGTAAACCGAAGCGCACCATTCCTTTTATCTCGCAATGGGAAAGAGGTTTAATACACGCTGTTTCTTGGATATTAAAATTGGTGATTCTGAACGTATGTATCCTTGTCTTCTAACTTCATTTTTCAGCTGAGCGTGTTGTCCTTGAGTTATTTGATGAAAAATGCCCGAAGGCATGTGATAATTTCAAGAAACTTTGTCAAGGTAAATTTTGTTGAATTATGCATGGTCTTAGGAATTTGTGGAATCGGAATAAAGACGGGGAAACCACTCCATTACCAAGGATCGACTTTTCATAGAATTATTAAGGGGTTTATCATTCAGGGTGGCGATTTCAGCAACGGTGATGGCACTGGTGGTGAATCTATATATGGTGGAACTTTTGCTGGTACGGTAGATCTCTTTATGTTATTGCCTTAGACGAAGACATGTCATTGCCTCATGACAGGCCATTCCTGTTGTCGATGGCCAACCGAGGTCCAAACACGAATGGCTCCCAATTTTTCATGTATGGTTGGGAAACTTTATAATGTCTTTAGAACCACTGCTCCTGCCCCTCACTTGAATGGTAAACATATGGTATTCGGCCATGTACTATCGGGTCGAGAGGTGGTTGCGAAGATTGAAGCAGTGCCTGTGTCTGATACTCGGATATACAAGCCAATTAAACCTGTTGTTATTGTTAATTGCGGTGAACTTGTCCCAGGTATTTCCCTTTTCGCCTAATGTCTGGTTTAAGTTAAAAAGAAAAAGTCCGATGACCAAAAGAAATCTAGTAAGAAGAAAAAGAAAAAAGCGAAAAAATCGAAGAAGAAGAAGTCCCGAAGAAGGCGAAGCTCTTCGTAGGGCTTTTCGTTGTGCTAACGGTCACACTTTAGCAGATATGGATCTGATTCAGATTCTGTGAAGATTAGGCCTGAAGAAATACCCGATGTACCAAAGAATAAGTTTTTGTATCGGCCAAGTCCAACAAACTCCACTAAGGCACCGTAAGATTCGTATTTAATAGGACGTTCAAGTGTTTACTTGTGATACGGCGATCTTTAACTTTGCTCAAACGCATGCTTTTTAACGTTAGGTTTGTAGAAAATCAAAATTACTCATTAAGACATAAGTCGGGTAGAAAAGTCAAGGGTCGAGGCCAGGTGGTGAGTTTTTTGTTTTCGCTTTGGGCATAATTGGGGAAGGTATATCAAAATGAAAACACTTCATTTTGCCTTAATATTCCCTTTTACAGCGCTATAGGACGCCAGATTCACGTTCTGGTAGTCGTGATCGTGGTATAACCCCAGAGCATTGGCATCAAGCAGCTCGTAGATCTCGTCGACGGTCTGCTGAAGATGAATCTCGATCACGAGCTAAACGATTTCGAGAGCAAATAGCCAGTAGTCGGTGAGTGTTGAGCTTTATCCAGTTGCATTTCTGCCTGCGTTCTTTGTTTACCTAACTCTAACCCAATGTGATTAATACTGTTGCAGCCTTTTGGTATCTTTCGGATGTTAATGTGAGTCACTAGATTTTTAGTAATCGTTTAATTTATTACCTACTGTTTTATGCTCCTCGTTGTAACATATTTAGATAACTTTTGTAGCGGTATTTACGTCATAAGTTTGCATAGTATCCATTACTTTGTGCGAAATGCGTGAAGTATACACTTCAACACGACATTGATTCGAGATTTGGCTTTGGTGAAAGTGTATGAAATTACAAAACTTATACTGTCTAATTCACATTTCGTGACGTGGCATTTTTTTTTCATAATTGTACCTCTCATTTTAGGGAAGAAAATGATCTGAGAGAAGCTAGAACTAGGTCGCCTTTGAATCCAACGGGACGGGGATCTGTTAAAAATCACAGTGACTATGCGTCGACTATAAGTAAACCAAGTCCTCGTCACCAAGAGAGTGCAAAGATCTTATCGCCTAGTAACGTAGGTAGTGGAAGAAGAGACAGAAGTCGGGATAAGACTCAAAGGTGTGTGAAAGTTCTCGTTTTTTATCTTAATTGCCAATTTTTTGAATCTCTAGCAGGACTAATAGCTTTTCTTTCCAATATGGTAACTCACAGAGATCGGTGTATCTTAGATTGTAAAATTTATCTTTTTTGTAGCATTGTTATGGTAAGGCGCTTAATGTGCTGTTATATGTCGAAAGCTGACATAATCTCTAACCTTGAAATGTCAATTTGAGTGTCCTAAGGAAGGCATTTGGTTATGTTAATTTTGATGGATTTTATCTGCTAGAGTTTTACTTTTAGATCAGACACTCGGTAAGTGCGATTCATTGATGCGATTACTTATGACGATTAGAGGGCCCAATTTGTAGCGTTGATCACTTCACCTCATGTTGTACACTTGGTAGCCATTTTCACATTCTCCATTAACCGTTTCCTTTAGGCGAAATGCTATGGGCATTTATGACGACCGGTGGACAAAAGGGCCTGATGCTACTCCTACATCCGCTCGTCGCCAGCAGGCTGATGACCAATCGTCGGAAGGGGAAGGTGCGCGACACGGATACCATCAACAACGAACACCAAGTCCACCACCGCCTCCACAAACTTCACATAGTAATCTCTCACGCGGTCATAATAGAACTCGTGCGGAGGACAGTGGAAGATGTGGTGTCGACTCTAGACGTTCGTCAAAATCTGGCCATTCGAGATCTGCCTCGTCACACCGGGTATGGGCGTGCAACTTAAACATTTCGCACAAAAGCCTTAAAATTTGATCATGAATACTTAAATTTTACGCGTTTTTTTGCATCAGTTACATTGTTCTTCCTGTTTCAGGTATCTGATCGAAGGCGTAAAGTATCGCGTTCACCTTCACGGTCCCGATCTCCCTCCTTTACTCGGCCTTCAAAACGATCGGTTGAGCGTGAATCCCGTCGTGATTCACCGCCGATATCGTCAAAGTTGGCTTCAACAAGAAGGCGGGAGACCAGTCAAAACCGTTTGGGAAGTGCAGAAAGACGAAAGCCCTCACCAGGTCGTGGAGACTTTCATGGCTCTCCCCGCAGTCCTCCTGCTCATCTGATCAGCAAGTAGGCTACCTGAAAGCAGTGTTCGTTTTTTTTTTTTCAAAACTTATTCTTATTAATGTTTTTTTTCAGGTGGGAAGAACGTCGAAAG